AAAAATTAAGTTAAAATAATAAACATTTGGGTAGGAAATTAAATATTAGAGTTGCATCAGGGTTGCGTCAGGTTTGTGTCACAACGCATAGATAACATTTGAAAATATTATATTCAAATATAAAATGAAAATAATAAATAACACAACTAATATCACGAATTATCAGATTCACCCTAATATATCAATAATATTCTAACACATTTGATAACCGTGAATGTTGGGAGGGATGGAAAGGGCTTATCAACGATGTATTAAGTATATATATAAATAAAAAATGATAATACATACCCGCTTCTAAATTCACCTCTTCTGAATGCCGCAGGCTGACTATGCCAAGCGTGTGGTTGATGAGTTTGTTGGGTGGTCGTAGGTACGGCCAAGTCAACCGGTTGACTTTGTGATCTGGTTGGTGCCGTTCTTCCGTTCAAGGCCGCCTGAAGGGCCGTAGCCAAGGCCGACGTATCAGAAGTCATAGTAAGTCTCGATGTACCTGATGACGTAGACGTTGGTTCCCTTGTTGGTGGTCTACTGTGAAAATAATTGTTTATAATTAATTTTTTATTTTTTGTTTTATTTTAAACACCACCACCACCACTCACCACCTCCCACACACTCACCGATACGATTTCTGTTTTTTTTTTTTTTTTTTATATATTTAATTTCATTCATCGTAATTCGAAATCATTTTCGAGATCGTTTATATAATTGTTTATTATTTAAATAATAATTAAATATATATATATATATATATAATTGGAATTAATTAATAAAAAAGCACGTGAATTATGTACAATGGGATTAGGGTTTAAATGCTGCTAAAAAAGAAAAACAATTGTCTAAACAATGTTTATGTTGTATTTTTTTTTTTTTTCCAGAGCAGTGTCCCGTTAAAAAACAAACGCGTTGTTTTCCTAAGAATATATTTTTTTAATCGTTTTAAATAAATAAATTAATAAATAGATTACAATACGATGCAATACAAAATTGATTAATGAAAATTATTGATACAAACTACTTGCTTTTTATTTTTATTTTTATTTTAATTTTATTTTTCAGCTCAATAGTAATTTTGCATTACTTGATATGTTATTATTTACACGTGTATGTGTGCGTTTTTTTTTTTTTTATAAATGAGATAAATATTACTTATACAATAATAACAATTGAAATTTGTGATGATTGAGAATAAAAATGCTCAGAAATGAGAAAACTTGCTTGCTTGTTTACTTTTGCTTGCATATTATCAGTGCTAACTATGATCAATCTAATTATTTATAAATCATTCTAATTGTATTCTACATTATTATTGCTCTGCAAATAATAATAATAATAATAATAATAATACTTCAATGCAGCATCTCAAAACGTTGTATTAACGTTTTTGCAATGAAACTACTATGATTATTAAACTACTATTTTGTTTATACAACTAACAACGAAAAAAAATTATTTAAAAAAACATGGTGAATATTACATTCTAAAAATTTCATAATTTAAGTTCTATTTTATTTGACTAATAAATAAATTAAATATATTCCGTCATTTTGATTTTCACGTTCTCCAGTGAATACTGCGAATGCCTTAACACACATACACACACACATATATTTAATAATATATTTGTATAAATAAATGTTGAATAATATACAAAGTGTTTCGTAAATATTTGACAATTAAAAATTGGTCTCACGTATTACGAAACAATTTTGTTAATGTGTGTGTGTGTGTTGGTTGTTCACAGTAAACACGTAATTATTCACATACGTGGTAATAAACAACGGAATGTATGGGGTGGTTGAAAGATTAGGAAGATAAATATATAAATAAATAAATAAATAAATAAATAAATAATCTTGTGTAATAATAATAATAATGAAAAATGTAAAGGGTGTCGCGTTATTTCAGCTAACTTTTATCTAACTTTTCAAGTATCTTTCTTTTGTATCTGTTTTTTGTAAAGTGAAGGATTCCGTGATGGTGAATAAAAAATATTAGCAGTCAATAACCATGCATGATTGTATTCCTTTTTATTATACTAATTGATGGAAATTTGTGATTTGAAAGTGTTGAAATTTTGTGGAGAAACGTAAAAATGTTGAAATTGAAATTGAAATTGAAATTGAAATTGAAATGAAATGAAATCAGGGATAATGTGTTGAAATTATAAAATAAAAAATGGATCAACGTTTTATGAGAAAATCCTAAACTCAATTAGAAACCTTGAAGAAACTAATTAATGAATAGTTTTCATTTTCTACAAATGTAAAATAATTTTTCTTGAATGTCAGATTGAAATTTGTTGATGTCAGATTTTGTGATGCCAGATTTTGGATGTTCGAGAACAACAACAACAAAATGATTAAGTGTGTTCGAACATTTTTAACGACGAATTTACATTGACAAAAAATTGATTTGTAATTTGTATCGAATAAATACAATTGTAACATTTATTACAACGTGTTTGTCATCTAATTGAATAAACAAAAATTAATTAATTTAATTTTATATTCGTTTGAAAAATGTCAAAACACGTATCCCAAAAGATCAAAATTGTTTTGAATACATCGAATGATAAAAGTTGTCTTAAAAACAAAAACAAAAACAAAAAATTAAAACAAATAAAAATAAAAAGAAGAACAAAATGTTTAGGAGTATAATAATAAATAAATAAATAAATTAATTGATTATATAATAATTAATAATAAAATAAAGCCAACAACTCCCGGATAATAGAATGTATGTACACAAACAAAAAAATAAATTGAATCCCGGCGATGATGATGATGATGATGATGATGAATACCCACACAAGTTTTCCGCGTCGAAAGTCTCCTACACCATCGGCAGTTTTTAAGATACGTTGCTTGTTTCTCCAAATCCAAAATGTCGAAATCCTTCGTGAAACGCTAGAACTGCGGAATATGTGTGTTGTGATACGTGTTTTTGATGTTGTTGTTGTTGCTATTGTTGTTGCAATGTGTGTAAATTGTTGTTTCGATTTCAAACAAAATAATAAAATTCAAGAAACAGAAAAAAAAAAAACAAGCCTGTGATGATGGTTGCTTGCATTTTATTTTAATACGAGAAGAAACGTGATTGCATTTCAAATTTTTTCTTTTTTTTTTTGTTCAAAATCATTTTTAAAATTCCTATTTTCCATTCAATTGCGTGAAAACAAAATTAATATTGTTAATTTAATTGAAATAATAATTGTTGACAATGTCAAATGTGAGAGAGCTGAGTAGTGTGACGAGAAGATAAGAAGAAATGTAAAGAAAAAAAATTTCATTTCGAAATGATGCACAAAATTATGAAATTAAAGTAAACAAAAAAAAAAAAAAGATGAACATAATTTCAAATAAAACGAGCCGTTCTAAAAGGTCTAGTTGGAAATCTAGATTGAAAGAATATCAAAAATGCTTATATAGTTTATCGATTTTGTTTATCGAAATTAAATTGATCAAATTGAAAAAGAAATTTCATTTTTTTCAAATTATTCATCAAATAAAAAAGAGGAAACAATGTCTTTTCCATTCTTTCTTTCTTTCTTTCTTTCTTTCTAATTTGTTGTTTAATTCATTATTCGTTTTGATTAAAATTCAAATCAACGTAACGGGATTAAAATAATAATTTGTGGATAATTATCGTCGATTATTTAAAAAAAAAAAAAAAAAAACAAAACAGAAACTTATAAATTCTTTCAATCGAATTGCGCAACACTGCTCTGAAGGGATTGTTGAAAGAGAAGATTAATGATTATGGTCACCTTCGGAACTTGTCCAATTTATCCAAAATAAAAGACGCCGAAATCAAATGCAACTGATCCAGGGATTTCGAAAGAAAGCTTTTCAAGAATAAAAAATATATATTACGATTAAACTTCCTGGGAAGGTCAAAGAAGAATCATTGTGAAGACTACTACTGTAAAAAAAAAAAAATAAAATAAATAAAATATCCTATATGATAAACTAATTAATTATAATCATTGATGTTACACCATTGTAGAAAACAAAAGAGAAAACAGAAAATCCATAATAAAAACTAAACTATTAAAATTTGTTCTATTTTGTATTAAAAAAAAAAAAAATTAAATAAATCATTAATTCTTAAAAACTCAACAGAAAAGGGTACAGAAACAAATAATACAAAAATTGTTTAGAAAAATATCGATCCCGAGAAATAATTAAATAATAATAATAATAACAATAATGATTGTTTTATTTTACCTAAACAAACCATGCGAAGTGCTAGGTTGAATCTTTCCATTTCCATTATTAGAAATAGCTGGTGTCGTTGGTGGTTGTGGTTCACTTGCTGATCTTTGAACGAGTGCAGGTGGCCTACCAGTTTGTCTTGCTGAACCTGCAGGTGCAGTACCAGGCATCATTTCAATGCTAGAACTTTCCCTTGATGAATTAAGGGTTTGTTGTAACAATGTTAATATCAATCTGATGTCTCCTGTCATTGAAGTTTCCAATGATGTTACTTGTCTTGATAATTGATCTATCCTAGCATTTATTTCTTCTATTGGTCGTCCTGGACCACTTTGAAAATCACCTGCAATTAAAAAATTCATAAGAAACGTGTCAAGAAAAAGAATTAATTAATTAAAGGTTTGTGAATTTATTTTGTTGTATGTTGATAGCCAATTTTTTGTGTGTTGAAGGTGAATAAATTGCATGTGAAGATGTTAATTTAATAAATTCACGAAACTTTTGATTCACCTTTGTATATTTTGAATTATTTTTTAATTTTGTTATCTTTACTAATAGCTTTAAAAGGGTTAAATTTATTTCAATTATAAGAAAAGGTTTGTGAATTTATTTTATTGTATGTTGATAGCAATTTTTTTTTGATTGAAGGTGAATAAATTGCATGTGAAAATGTTAGTTTAATAAATTTACAAAACTTTTGGTTACATTTTGAATTATTTTTTAATTTTGTTATCTTTACTAATAGCTTCGAAAGGGTTAAAATTATTTCAATTATAAAAAAAGGTTTGTGAATTTATTTTGTTGTTGTTGAAGGTGAATAAATTGCATGTGAAGATCTTAGTTTAATAAATTCACAAAACTTTTGGTTATGTTTTGAATTATTTTTTAATTTTGTTATCTTTACTAATAGCTTCAAAAGGGTTAAAATTATTTCAATTATAAGAAAAGGTTTGTGAATTTATTTTGTTGTATGTTGATAGCAATGTTGTTGTTGTTGAAGGTGAATAAATTGCATGTGAAGATGTTAGTTTAATAAATTCACAAAACTTTTGATTATATTTTGAATTATTTTTTAATTTTGTTACCTTACTAAAAGCTTTCAAAGGGTTAAATTATTATAATTATAAGATTTACCATGAGAATGTGGATGTTGTGGTGGAGATGGTGTTGTATAATGACTGGATGTTGTTGAAGTTGGATGAATGACATTTTGACTTAGGCAACTTTCACCAGTGGCCGAACTTCTACGTGCTGGTTTTGTCAATGGCGTTGTCACTGATTAAAAATAAAAACCAATTTTTATTAATTTCCAATAATAATTAATTTAATATATATTTATTTTTGACACAGATATATATATATATATATATATATATATATATATATATATATATATATATATATATATATATATCGTATGAACAACGTATATATACATATGTAGATGTATATATATACACAAAATGACATTTTTCAATTGAACATAATTTACAATACACACTTTCTAAACAACAAAGCATCATCTATAAGATGAGCATGTTCAATCATGTCGAATGAAATCCCATAATAAATCATTTTCGTATACTTTTGCAATGGTGTCATCCAAATACCAGTCTGCTGTACTTCCATATAATAATTATTTATATTTATATATATATATTTTTTTTATCTAATAATCTGTTTGTCTCAGTGTTTATCTTTCATTTTTCTAATAATATTAACTACAGATTACAAATTATTTTTACCATTAATAACAAAACAATTAATAATTCAATAATTATATTCTACAAATTGTACAACAAATTTCGAACATTTTTAAATTACCAATCAACTTAAAAGTCAAGAGTGGGGAGGGGGGGGGTTGGGGCGTTAGTAATTTATTCATTATTTCATATTTTATAATTAATATATTTGTTTAAATGGTAAAAATAATTAGTAAGCAATTAAAAAAAAGGGAATCATATAAAACACATAACGATGCGTGGTGTGGGCTTACCGAACCCAAATTAATGATCTCTCATCTCAGCATTAAAAATGTGGGATTTTTCTACTAGCGATAAAAAACTTACTCTGTTTGGCGAGGTAATCATGACTCGTTAGAGGCTGCAGATGAATCTTGTGCTGACGTAGGTCCGGAATACTGCGCTTGAGATGGGTTAGCATGCCTGAACAACCATGTTTTCAAGGTGTTAACGAACTCGGGAATAAAAACCAAACGCAACCGCAAAAAGCTCTTTTTTTTTTTTCTTTTCTTTTCTTTTTTTTTTTTTTTATAAACGTAGTACACACACGCACACTTGGTACCAACTTATAAAAAAAAAAAAAACATTTTTGACAAGCCAAAAAAGAAGAAGAAAAAAGAAGGTGAAGAAGTGGGAGAAGTTTTGAGGGTTGATCTGATTTGCGGAAATTGTCTAAAATTATTTTGTAAATCTATAAGGGTAGAACAGGGGGGTTTGGCAAAACATTAAATAAGCTAAATATATATATATATATATATTTAATAATATTTATAATAAATATATAAATTGTTGATTTGTTCGGAATGTAATTGAATTTTAATTAAATTGATCACATTGGATTTGAAATGTCAAATGTTTCGAGTTTTCAATATTACAAATGACTTTTTTCCGAACAAACCATTGAATTATTAGGGTTAACAAGTTTAAAGATGAACTACATAAGGGGGTAGAACAAGGGGGTGATGGTGTGTGAAATAAAAATGTAATTGGATGCATAAGATATTCGCAATTTAGAGAATCCAATTTGAATTGTTTTAAGGATAGAAAAAAAATATAAATAAAAAAATATAAATAATTAATTAATTATATATATATATATATATATATATATGTATATTGTATGTGGAATCTCTGGCACGCGAAATCCATCATAAATAACAAATTAATCTAATAGTATTTTTTTTTTCTAATATCAACAAAATGCCAATATATTTATACAAAATATAAAAAGAAAAAAAATTGAATAAAAAATATGTTCGTATCGTTTTAACTGAGGGGGTATTAAACAGGGGTTGGTTGAGGGTTTTTATATCTATATATATATATATATATTGTCGTGCAGCAGAAAACAACATTCCTCAAACAGTATAATAAAAACAGGCACGAAAAATTGTTGTTTTTTTTTCTTCCCCAAGATTGATAAGAAATGATCAAAGAAGAAGATTTGTTTTTTTTTTGTTTTTTTTTTTCTTTGGGCTGAATAAAAGTGTGTAATATATAATATTGATAAAAACGTGCGTTATCATCTCACCGGTAATTGAATTCAATGTCGAACTTCTTTGTTTCGGTTCATCGAATTCCAAATTTAATGGTGTCACGTCTTGTCCAGCTTTGTCGGTACTAAATTCAAGTATACCGTGACCACTACTCTTATCACTGTAAAATTATCATTTTATTTATATATTAATATATCATTTGAACACATTGACAGCTGGCTACGCAAAAACGCGGGGTTTCTGAGACTGTCGCTTGAGCGCCGGGCCCCACGAAAACGCAGGTTTCTGAGCTTGTCGTTTGAGTAGCTGCCCTACGATGATGTAAATTTTGTTTTTGCTGGTATGAGTGTCTTACACACTCGATTTATATTTACTTGCTATAATTACACCGATCTTTTTGGCTATTTAGTGATCAGAAACAAGCGAATAAGGCCGGGGGGCGTTCGGGGTTTAAATTGGCCAATACGTTGCCGGCGTTCAGGCTTTAAATGTCTCTTAGGTTGCCGACTGACAATGTGTTAATATTATAATTATTTCAAATAAATGAAAATTTGTCAAAGAAAGCCTAGGATGGCAGCTTAATTATTTGTCATTGTCACCTAGGCATGAAAATTGAGAAAAAAAGTAAGATAAATGGATAATTACTAGTCTTCTTGTTCGTCTTGCAAGGAATCTTGTCGACCTGTAGGTATAAGATTTGTGCCAGGACCTCCTCCAGGTCCTCGACGGTATCTTGGTGGACGGAAGGCAAATCTCCTGGCGTCAACTTCGACGTCTGTTGGAGTACTTACAGGAAACCTTGCTGACATTGGATCAACTCCTGCTTGTTCTTCCTATCCCATCAAAATTCATCATCATTATTATTATTATTAACATTTCATTGTTTTTTTAAACAAATACAAAATTTTATTTTTCATCAAATATATGTGTGCCCATAATTATGAAATTATTGTCCAAATTAAACTATTTTACATACTCATACAAATATTATTTCAAATTTAATTAAATTCAATATAATTTGGAGAAAAAATATTATTAAAAATTAATTGTCAGAGATAATATTTGTTATTTTAATATTTTATTGAATTGATTTATGTATAAATTTAAATATCTCAACTCTTATGGTTAAACCAATTTCAAATTCATAAATTATGATCACACATATATATATATATATCAATATAATTAAAATATATATTTATAATGATAAGACTTACATCTCTCATATTGAAAGTTATTTCTAAATTTTGACTGAAGTGATTAGAAAATTCGGGATAAAGTGCCAATACGTCGAGCAAATCATCCCTGTGTATCTTATGAAGATCGCAATAGGTCAATGCACGTACGTTGCATGACGATTTGCCTACTGTCGGATATATGCATGGATTTTCACCGAATATATCGTCCTTTCCTAATATTGCCATTACAATATCGTCTTTCAATATTTCGATACTTCCACGTGATATGAAATATAATGATGTCAATACGTCTCCACGATGTACCAACGTATCCCCAGGTGGTGCATGAGTTGTTTTAAATTTTAACGATAACGCTCTATAATATTAAATAAAACAACTTTATTTATTAATTTTAATTAATTAATCGTATGGGTGTGATTCATTTTAAATATGTTTGAGACAAATGTAATTGTAATTTTTTTGTTGTCAAAATTACCTCAAACAACCTGGACTAGCTCCCTCGAAGGCTCTACAATTGTTTAACAAATTTCTATTAAGATGAAGACAAATGTCAGCCTGAAGGCACTCGGGAAATCCTTTGAGTACGCTGTTCATATCGATACCATTCGTATATGTCCATGCATGCTGAAAATATTCTTCCAAACGTTGCCTAAGTGGATTAGGTATTTGATGGAATCTTATAAATTCACGAACTCGCAACATTTGCGTATGATATCTCGCTGTACCGCTGTACAATCTTTGAATTATTGCCGATACGTTACCAAATATACTGGCGTACATTAATGCTAGAAAATAAAAAGGAAAATAGAAAAAAAAACATAAAAATAAAAATAAAAAAAAAACACAAATAGAAAACAAAATTAAATGAACACATTAATTTTATCACACAATTATTATTTTATATTTAAAAAAATTCAATGGTAGTTATGTATTAACGCCATAGCAGCACAAATTCCGCTAATGCGCCAATAAAGAGTGAAAAAGCAATCTTGTTGTTTGCACACAGCAACCGTCATGGGTTGCATCAGTGTTTCGTCAGGGTTTCGTCATTTTTTAATGCTACAAAAATTCGTATTTGAGATTTGCCAAAAATAATACAAAAAATAGTAGAAACCCTGACGAAACTCTGACGGTTGGTATGTGCAAACAACAAGATTGCTCTTTATTGGGGCGCATTAACGGAATTTAGCTGCAATGGCGTTAATACGTAAGTCCCAATAAAATATTTCATTCTTTCGTTACAAATTTTGTTTTTACATAGAAAAATTCATTGGATGTATTCATACGACCCTTTTTTCATGGTAATCGATCGAACGTGTTCGTATTATACACGGTGTTGTTACAAAATGGTGTTAACGACCACCCTCTTTTATATATGGGTCATTGGTAACGAAAGAATTAAATATATTTCTATATGTATGTGTAAATATATTGATAAACTTACATCCTATCAGCATAACGATAATAGTAAATATTTTTTCGGCATCCGTGTTGGGTGCAACGTTACCAAAACCGACGGACGTTAAGCTGCTGAATGTGAAATACAATGCTGTGATATAACGACTCTGAAAAGAAAAAAAAAAACCAGGAAGGAAGAAAAAAAAAATAATAAAAAAAAAAAAGGAGGAGAAAAAAAAAAGAGAGAGAGAAAAGACGAATAAATGATTTAATAAAGAAATATAAGACGATGTTTTTATAGGATTAAATTTCAATTGTTTTTTTTTTTTTTTTATAATTAATATAGGACGTACATAAACGTTAATTTATTTTATCGTATTTATTGAATTATTATTTGTTCCATGACGAATCAAACGATTTACCTTTATACTCGGTCCACCGGTATTATTGTGTGAATAAAATTGATGCGTGTCATTGGCTAAAATATCCAACCAACCAACTTTACTCTTTAATGTTGGCCTCTCAGCATTTCCTATTGCATACCTTGAACGATAATAACAAAAATAATTCATTAAATTAACATATTATTATTATATTTTTTTTTTATATAAAATTATTTGTGTTATATAACATTTTATTTATTATTCATTTATATTTATTGTATAAGAAATTTATATAATTATAAAATTATAAATACAATTTTGTTTCGATCAACGTATTATAATTATTAAAAAAAAAAAAAAATAAATAAATAAATTTTCATTCAATACTGCCAAGTTTTCAACTTATACAAAATCAATTGATTATACTTTGAATGTTATTTAAAAAAAAAAAAAAAAAAAAAAAAAAAAACTAAGGTAAGATATTTTTATTTCGAACATATCAAATATTTGATTCATTTTATTCGTTGACACGTTTGTATCCCCTAGTTAAGGGAATGCTGTAATTATAAAAATAGAACAAAAGGGTCGATTGAAATGAAAAACAAAACTGGAACGTGTACATGCATCAATTTCTATCACTTAATTCATTTTTGAAAGAAACAAACCTATTTTATTTTTAACTTATGTATGACTTTTTTTGTTTTTTTTTTTAAACTTACCAAATGCATGCCATCCAATGAGCAATTAGAGCAAAACTGGCCATTAATAGGAGCAAAACCGCTGCCCCATATTCGCTGTATCTGTCGATTTTTCTAGCCACCCTGACCAATCGTAGAAGACGGGCAGTCTTCAGTAGTCCAATCAAGGTCGTCGTCTGAAAATAACGCGCCATTTTGTCCATCTAACACGACACTAACTTGACCGACATATTTAATTCCTTTTTTTTTTCGAGATAATAATCTTTTCAACATTTCCGAACACTTTATTATATATATATATATATATATATTTTTTTATAGTTATTATCATTATTATCATCGTCATCTCTCTTCTTCATTAATTTTATTTTAACCTAACCTATAAAAAGATCGATAACGAACTACGATACAGTATTTGTAACATTTTCAATCGCTCAATAATACAAATTCATGAATAAATCCAAACCAATTTGGGTTTTATCAGTTTCTTTCCTTTTTTTTTTTTTATTTTTATTTTTAAATTCAACCAATACGATTCTTATTGTCCCAATGGTTTTTAATTAAATATTATGCTGGACTACGTTCGTTTCATACATTGACATCTCGAATTATTAATGATGAGCCCAGAAAACTGGGCTAATCTTTTCATTTCTACTTTTCTCTTTTTTTTTTTTTTCTTTTCCTTTTGCATTTTTTATTTCATTTCAGTTTCTTTTTTTTTTTTTCTTGCTTCTTGCTCTCTTTCTTTTTACATTACATACGAAAGTATCCAATCGATACGTGTTCAATATTTCAATACTTAGAATATAGGTATATATATATATATATATAGTTCAGTTAAAAATCGATAAATGTCAAAGGGTTTTCTTTTTTTCATTCTAATTGAATTTTTTTTTTTTTTTTTTTTTTAATATTTTATTAACTCAATTTAATTTAATTTATCAATTAAACATTTTCCTTGTCGATTTAGTATTGAAACAAATGATGTAATAAAGTTCTTTGTTTTGTTTTGTTTATTATCGAATAATTTTGAGCGATTGTCATCTTTTTGTTTATTTAAATTATATATATTATACAATAAACACACTGATAGAATATATATGTATATATATAAAAAAAAAAAAAAAATGAATTACATGCACAATCCTCTTTTTATTTCTTACCTTTTTTTATTAATTCGAAAACAACACTCCTAGGGAGCGAATTCCAATCGAACAAATTCAATCAAAAATTTGCAAATTATCAAACAATAATAATAATAATAATAATAGTAATTATAATAATAAGTATAATACTTCTACCTTTTTAGTATGATTTTAACTATGATTTGATATTTTTAACAATATAAATCTCATCAAATAATTAATCGTTAATTAATTGTGCAATATATTGATTTCTTTTATTTAAATTTCTTTACATTAATTAACAAATACAAGGTGTCTTTTTTTTTGTAATATATGTGAAACTTTAAAAATCCCACATATTAAAAAAAAAAAGAAACACACAAATATAATTTAAAAAATTTAGAGTTTTAGAGTCATGTGACATTAAGGCGGCAAATTTGAATGTTTCATTCGTTTCGAATTTAATAAATTCATTTTTGTTAACAAACATACAACACGTACATGACACGTACGTGTGTATAAGTTTGAGAATAAAAATAAAAATTGTTGAATATCAAAATTATTCATTTACAACACATGCATTAAAAAAAAAAAACCCCATAACACATATATATATATATAATAGAACATGGCAGAATGATAAGAAAAATTGGATAGATTTAAGCAACGTTCAAAAGCAACAACGACGATACAAAATCACAAAGCACATCATTTTCATAACAGTTGTGTGTATCATACTAAATATATACAATGTATTTTTCAAATGTATTTTTATTTTTTTTCAAAATGTATGCAAATTTATTTAATAGTAAGCGTGCATGAAAATTTTCATTCGCTTATACATTGATAATAAAGACAAAAAATATTCATTCAATCGATTCATTGTCAAATCAAAAACGAAAGCAAACTAATTGATTGAAATAAATGAAAAATAATTAAAATAAAAAAAAAAAATAAAACAAATATATAAATTTTATTAATTAATTAAGCGTGTTACGCATTCCACACAATAATTTCATGCTTCCATTATTTAAATATATATAATAATAATAATAAGTAGTTCTGATAGGAATAATTATTCATAATAAATCAAATAAAATCTATTTGTTTGTTATTAAAAATCAAACATTATTTAAACATCGTATTTTTTATTTTATTTATTTATTTATTTATTTTTTGTTCATAGAAATAAAATCAATTGTTTGATTATAAAAAATTATAACTCAAAAAATTTTGCAATATTTCGATTCATTTCAATATTTACTTTTCTTTCTTTGTTTTTGCGTATTTCATTAATTACTTTTTAATTATAATTTTTTTTTTTTAAATAAATGAAATTGTATTTAATTAATATTAATGTACTTGTAAAACTATCAAAACATATGTATATATATATATATATATATATATATATATATATATATA